TGAGCTGCGGGCGCCGCGGAGCGCCCGCAGCCGGGACTGGGGATCTCCCCTTTACTCCCCGCCCCGGACCTCGGGGCTGCCCGATCTCACCGGGCTCGGGGTCTCTGGTTTGGGGGCCAAGGTGTGCCCGTGCACGTACAGTGAGCCGGTGTCGGGAACGGGGTTTTTGGGTCTCTGGGAGAATCTTAGAATATCAGAAAGGTTTGGGTGGGAAGACACACCTCATCCGGTTCCACCCCTTGCCATGGGCACGGGCACCTTCCACTGAGCCCTGTCCAACCTGGCCTTGAACTCTTCCAGGGATGGGGTAGCTACAGCTCTGGGCAATCTGTGCCAGTGTCTCACCATCCTCACAGGGAAGAAGTTTCTCTAGTAGCTATCCCTACTCGCTGTTCGAGGTACTGCAGGAGCAGTGTTCCCATGGCATCGTACACGTGTGACCCAAGTTTGGTGACGTGGCTGGTTGGGATCCCTGTCATCAACACGGACTCACAGCGACCAGGAGAGGGTCAAAGTTCCCAAGGCACAGATCACAGCCGCTCTCCTATGTGATTATACGTGATACTGCCGCTTACCAAAGTTCCACCAAGGGTGAGAGCCATCTGCATCAAGAAGCAACCTTAAGGGCATCCCAGCTCTGGGGGAGACCCCTCCCATTCAGCCACACTTCTTGGCAGGGAGAGCTCTGAGAAGCCTTGCTTAGGCCGTCATAACTCATGGGATAATGTGGTTGGCTTGTAGTTCCTTGCATCAGGAAAGGCATGCACAAGACTCCTCATACCCACAGCTCGCTTTGTTCCTTGATAAAAGAGCCTTGCAAAAGCCACCCACTTTTCATGTGTCACTTGCATGGTTGGTGTTCCAAACTCATATGGTCAGTGCTCACTGTGTTACTCTCCTTCATGGGTTTCCACAGGACAGGTTAGAGCTAGCACAGTCTTTGGCTCCCATCCCCTTGGCAGATCTTGGGGGCTTTAGCACTGTGCCAAGTTCCGGCTCAAACGAAGTCCTTGCTGAGGTAAACACAGCAGAGCTCAGCACTGCAGCAGAGGAGATCTTCCCCCAGCCACCAGATTCCTAGAACTTTCCACATTCCTAAATTTAATCCAAGAAAATCCTTCGGCATAATCCCATGCCCGTGTCCCACAGTTGCTGATGGAGCTGATGAACCCCTGGTTAGGGAAACACCCCAGTGCCAGCATCCAAAGCAATTTAAACCTGCTGCCCAGGAGCAGGATCCTAGGCAGGATCAGGCACAGGGCTCAGGCTCTGTGCAGGCAGCTCTGCCACATCTCCAGCAGAAAGACCTGGGGCATGGACAGCCAGAAGCAGCAGAATGGCTTTGGAGTGCAGCATGGCCATGGGGTGCTCGCAGGGCTGATGGGGGTTTAATCCTAGGTCCCACCGATCTTGGGTCCCTTCAGTCCCCAAAACTGGTCATGGCTGCTGCAGCTCCAGCCCACCTTGTTTCCTCTTTGGTCACTTGTCCTCTCCAGCCCCAGCTCCCCTGGTGCCACTGCCACTGTCTCTGGCCTGGGAGCTCCCTGAGGCTTGCTTGCTGTCAGTCTGGGATCCTTGTGAGATCCTTCTGCTTGCATCTCCTCGCGCATGTTGGGACACTGCATAACCCAGCCAAAAATATGATTTGGGTGCACTAGCTAGGTGGAGCCAGGACACATCCCACCGCCAATAGAAACATGATGCATTGGCCTGTGGGATAAGATCCTCAGCCAAAACCCCCATCCAAGTCTGCCTACGGCTCTGTGGGGGCTTGGGACAGGTCTGTGTCTGCCCATCCTGCCCAGACTTGGCACAGGGAAGCCGGCTTTTCCAGTCTCCACAGCACTGCTGTGCTGGTGCTCCTCAGGAGGCTCTTGGGAAGCCCAGCCCCACTGCAGGGTGCTGCGACTCACAGCACATGAGCTGAAATCCCCCCCCGGCCATGGCAGGTACAGGAGGAAACAGGGGGAAGCAAGAAGTGCAAGGTGATGCTGTGGGTCTGCAGCCGGAACTGTTCCAGCTGTTTGTGCCTGGAGGCAAGGCTGTGTTCTCAGTCCTGCCCATCATCTAAGGATGCTGGGTGCTGGTTGGAAGTGAGAGTCCCTCAAACTCTCCTTGGGCTCTGGCATTCCTTCAGCAAACACCTAAATCAGGCAGGACACCTAAATCCTTGGCTACCCCCACTAGACCCTGCTATGTGCTAGCTCAAGACCATCTGTCCCTGGCGTGTCCCTATTATGAGAAGAACTGGGTCGCTCCTTCCATCCAGCCTCTTTCAACAGCACTACAGATCCTGTGCTGCCTTTTAGAGCTGGAGCAGCCCCCAGCCCTAGCCTGGCTCTTTGGGGCTGCTGAGAAGCCCCTCTGCATGGCATCTGGGGACATTCCCCCCAGAATTTCTTACCAGACAGGGAGCCTCAGGCTCAAGAGAAGCAGCAAGGACTGGGAGCGTAATTCATGGGATCCACATGGTCTGCTTTCCTCCTTTACCTCCCGCAGGCTAAAACCTTATCCTTTCCCGTTCTAAAACAGGCTCAGCTTGTTGCACCCCATGGCCCAGTGCCAGAAGCACTGGTGGGAGGCAAGGAGCTGCTATGCACATGAAGGGCTGAACTTTGCCTCTTCCTTTTTTGCCCTATTTTAATTACTAATGGCCAAGGTCAGGGTGGGATGTTGTGTCTAAGAGCTGTTGCATTTATTTGCTGGGAAAAGCCCCACCAAGTTAACTGTGGGGCTCTCCTGCCAGTGGGAAAAGCATGAAGGAACGCACAGATAAACATGGGGTGACAGGGTGACAGGGCTCCTGAATGCCCACAGGGAGGTGCAAGCCAGTGCCATGCCAAGCTGCCAGTGGCTCTAGCCTGGGGAGCAGCTCCCCTGGGACACCACAACTGCACAGGATGAGCTGCAGTGAGGCTGTGCTGGGTGATGCTTATGGCACTTGCCCCCCTTCTCCACCTGCATCCTTCTCAAGTCCTGGCCACTCCTGCCTCTCCACTGCTGGCATGCTGCCTGAGTGCAGGGTGTGTTTGCAGCACCAGGGGTGGAAGCCAGCACCCAAGGAGAAACAGGAGTAAACAGCCTGGAAGGGCTCAGGGTGGGCTCAGTGCAGCTGAGCAGGGTTAAACACTAGAGACAGAGAATGCGAGCTGAGAACAGGGAGGTTAGCTTAGGGTTAGCAGTGTGTCTGCGGCAAAGGAGGCAGTGGCCCCCAGAACTATCCCACAGCACGTCATCACACCCAGGGACTGCAGCTCATCCCCAGGTGAGAGGTTTCCAGGCTGGTGGAGCAGTGGGTTGATGGACCTACTGGAGCTGCTGTGACCCTACTGTTGCTCAAGATGCCCAATCACCCTGAGGAGCCCAAACTCTGCAATGTTGGATCCCACTAAGCCTGCACCCCCTCTGCTGTTCTCCAGCCATTTTCTTCCAGTTCTTATTTGGTGGCTGATTTGATCTTGTGGATGGAGTATGGGCTTGACTCCTTGGGCATCCAGATTTCCTCCCCACCATGGCCCTGGTGGTCCACTGCTCCCTCCATGGCTGCCGTCAGCTCCGGGCTGAAGATGCTGTCAGTGGCCCGGTAGGTGCGGGTGAGGCGGCGGAAGGAGGAGTCTGAGGAGCTGTCGTCAGGAAGGTCTTCATCCTGCTCATCCCGCAGCTTGGTCCTGCCCAGCTCCGAGCTGCTCCCCAGCTCTGGGTCTTTGAGAGCCTCCCCCACCTCCTGGAGGAAGGTTGTTTTGGGGCTGATGATGCACAGCAGCAGCATGAGGCCTCCTGAGACCCCACAAAGAAAGTAGAGACCAACTTTCTCTGGGACACCTGGGGGGAAAAGCAAAGAGAGACACCAGGCTACACAGTGCCTCCACAGCCTGCAGGGAACCAGTGCCTACAAACCCTCTCTGCCATCCTCGTGGGAGGAAGAGGAGAGGATGCCTTCAGCACCCAGGCTGCAGAGGCAGGACAGACCCTGCCTCAGTGATCATGAGATTATCACCCAGAGCCTCATCAGCACCCTGCAGTGTCCCAAAATGTGCCTTTCCCCATAGGAAACCCCCACTGGGATGCCGGGCTGGCTAGAGCAGGGGAAGGAATCATCTCATCAGGGATTAAACGAGTAATTTCCCCTAGCAAGGGAAATTTTTGTCCACACAGAGGTTCTCTCCATCAGTGCCTGCAGACAGGGCAGGAAGGAAGGAGACCCAATAGGTAATCCAACCCGTTGGAGAAGGAAGGTCCATGGGCAGGATCACAGCCAAACCATGACTGCTGATGCTGTGGGACCTCAGGGCTTGTTCAACCCCTGAGCTCCTGCCCTACTTGTCCCTCCCAAACCCAGCATGGGCACTTGGTG